ATACCATGGAAATTAAATATTTTGGGACCATTTTTTCATTATTTGAAAAAGATAAAATCAGTGTTTTGTCCATTGGGTTTATTTTAATTCTGTTTCGAATAGTATTCAACACACATTTTAAAAATGTCTCAGTAGATGTGCTAAAGGTATACTTAAAAGGCATTACAACTCATCTCCCTTTCTTCTTGTGAATGAGTTGAGTTCTGAGAGTTTGCGCCCTCTACTGGAAGAGGACTGAGCATGTTAGTCAGAAGGACCATGGGGAACGTCTCCACCGATTAAACTTGGGTTCATCTACATACTTTGTATGTAGGTTTCTGACTGTTAATCTCTTTGTGTATTATCTAATTGAAGTTATAAACTACAAAATTTGTTAACTTTATTTCTTTTCATTTTAATTCACCTTTTTGTTGATTTTTGTTTTTTAAATCCTGTTTTTCTAAAGGTGTTCCCCTGGGTTTAAAAAGTAATAAGGACACTTAAAATTTAGAATGAAATATAATATAAATGGCTAAAGTAGTCTCTTGCTAGCATGTAGACATATAGCTTGTAAGAAAAATTCTTTTCAAACTCATCATAACCAGTCCTTTGTAAATCATCTTATTCTACAATGATTTCATATATATATATATATATATATATATATATATATATATATGTAATTTTTTTTTGTTTTTAGCTCAGGGCTGCTACTTGTTAGGCAGGCACTCTACCACTTGAGCCACTCCACCAGACCTTTTTGTTTTTAAATGTGTCCCAAATCTTATAAATAAGCTTGGAAATACCTTTTTTGACCTATGGAAAGTCTGTTAATCAGACTTCTTATGTTAAAAGTGATACTGGGTTTCACCAATTGCGGGGTGAAGAGAAGAGATGGAATGGTAGAGAGGTATGGTATGATTATGATGATTTTTATTATGGATTGAATGTTAGTTTTAGATGTACTGAGCTCAAAGTCATATATCCTAAAAATATGAAATTCAGATGATTTAGTAGGTAGAATTTATAACAAGTTCTGACAGTATGCAGAATTTTTGCCTATATAATTTTTGGCATGTTTGGATGGCTAAGGGTATGATGTAGCTGGTGTATTAATAAGGGCTTCTTATTATGATAGCTCTGCTGAAATTTTTTTGAGTCTTTTTTTCTGGAGGAGGGGGATCAGGTTTCTTTAATTCTCTCTTCCTTGTAATAGTTAGCATGATTACATACGAAGGTTTAAAGATTTAAAATAGTGGCTTTTTTTTTTTAGTTTATCAAAGATAATTTTGAGATATATTTTATTATAGCCTAAATAAGATAGGTAATTCTTTAATCTGCTAGTTAAAAACTCACTGGTGACACTTTACTCAGATGTCTAGAAAACTTCAGTGAAATGTTGGATATTTAAAGAATATTTCTAAGCTTTGCCTTTTCTTTTTCCTCAAGTGGTGTGATTGTAGATATAGTTTCAAATATCTTAGAGTACCCTGAATTCTGTGTCAGTTGTTAAAAACAGTGAATATTACTGAGAACACTTCTATTTTTTACTCTAGAATTTCACCACTTAGAAAAGAGAGCCTGGATGCTGAGAGAAGAAGCTTAAGGATGGTGTGGGAAGGTGGGGGTGAGGGAGAAGCTATTGCCAGTGTTTCCGAATGTTAGCTTATCTTCATCTCTTGTAAAAATTACACCGAAAAGAGCAAAGGAATTTTGAGAGAATAATGTTCTAAGCTTTTTGTTACTCTTGTGGCAAATATTTTCTACTGTTTTGTAACACAAGATCTTTAGTTTTGTATTAATTTGTGAAGTGGAAATAACATGGAGCATTATGTGATCTCTCAGTGTTTGTAAATTAATCATGTTATTGTAGATGGCTAAACCAGCAAGCAAAACAAGAAATAGAATTTTAGGATGTGCTTATGCATAATGCTTTCTTGGCTTTTGTATTCTGATGAATTTCTTTATTTCTTTCTTTCTCTTTTTTTTGCGGTACTAGTGTTTGAACTAAGAGCCTACTCCTTGAGCCACTCCACCAGCCCTTTTCTGTGAAGGGTTTTTTGAGATAGGGTCTCATGAACTATTTGCCTGAGCTGGCTTCAAACCACAGTTCTCCTGATCTCTTCCTCTTGAGTAGCTAGGATTATAGGCTTGAGCCACTGGTGCCTGGCTATGAATTTCTTACTTTAATACCTTGAATTTTTTTCCCCTTAAGGTCAAGAGTCTTATTTTTATAAACTTTAAAAAAAAAAAACCTTAAAGACAGGTTTGGGAAGCCCACATAAAGTATTTTTTTTTGTGGTGATAGTTTTTTTCTGTTAAATTTAATATGTGGTTGTTGCAAACAATGGGATCATATAGAAAACAAACTTGAAAACGAAGTTACTACAAAACATGGTGGTACATGCATGACTGTAATCCCAGTACTTAGGAGGAAGAGGCAAAAGGATCTCATGTTGGAGGTCAGTCTGGTCTACATAACAAATTCCAGGCCAGCCTGGGCTGTCTACCAACACCCGATCTCAAAAAAGAAATGAATAAAGTAAGAAAATAAAGGTAAAAAGAAAAAAAAGTTATCAAAAGATAACCAACCACTGAAATTAGGTGTGTGGTATATGCCTGCAGTCCTAGCACTGAGGAAATGGAGGCAAGAGGATCTCCAATTTGAGGCCAGCTTGGGCTACCTTCAAAAAAACCCTGAAAAATAAAAATTAAAAAAAAAATAACAAGTAGTGACATTTTAGACCCTTGTTATCCGCATTTATCTGATTCTAAAGAGACTGCCAAAGAGAAAAGCCTGTGAATGTTCAGGGAACATAGAGTTCAGGACTGTATGTAGATGCTTGATTCATTTTTCTCATAGCACTGTCTAACTTCTGCTAAAGACATGCTGCCTTTCAACAACTCAGATTTTCACATTATCACTTTAGTTAAGTACATGAACTTTCACCTTGTTTTTTGGGAGGCATATTTTCACAAAATTAAGGGCAGGAAAACACTCAGCAGATCACACAACAATTCAAACAAAACTGACGATAATGTGGGACTGCAAAGAGCCGCTCCACACCAGCTGAGCTGTGTAATGTATGTGTGTGTGAATTTAAATTTCTTTTAATTTTATAATTATTTTTTGAGTCATGGTTGATCAAAACCACATTTAATAAATCTGTGAGTAAGGTGAACTTACTGGAAAAGTATCCAGCCAGATCTGTTGTCATCCTCTTTCCCCTAGCCCCCACCTCCATATTTTTGCATTTTATGAAACAAATTTAGGATCATATAATGTATACTTTTTGGCAAATTATTAAATCTTTCAATTTTTTTTTGCAGAAAAACATATTATGCTTTATTTTTTTTCTTTTCGTTTTTCTTTTATTATTCATATGTACATACAAGGCTTGGTTCATTTCTCCCCCCTGCCCCCACCCCCTCCCTTACCACCCACTCTGCCCCCTCCCTCTCCCCACCCCCTCAATACCCATCAGAAACTAGTTTGCCCTTATTTCTAATTTTGTTGTAGAGAGAGTAGAAGCAATAATAGGAAGGAACAAGGGTTTCTGCTGGTTGAAATAAGGATAG